CGGAAGTTTCCAAACTTTTGACGCTTGTAATCTTATTTGATTCTGAATATAATATGTGAATTCGGGGCAATTTCATTGTCTATTGGCTACGCTAGATCAAAAATAAAAAAGTTTCCAAACTTTTGACCGCTACTGTATGCCTGACAAAAAAATCCGTAACTTGATCATGCATGATATGATACACAGAGCAAGAAACGGCTAATAGAGATGATCTATCCATTCTGCGTATGAGACACCGTTCTTCAATTAGGCTGAGCATCGCTGTTTGGAAGGGGGATACATTGACGTGGACGAGGTATTCCACTCAAGTATATTTTGTTTCTGAAGCCGCCTGCACTCACACTATTGAGAGGGTGAGGTCGCGACAACTAAAATTCTGTGACGTCACGTAGTTCCGATCAATACCGGTTGAAAAATCGGTTTTCATGGGAGGGTCTTTAAGAAGATTGCCTATTACACACCATCCGGTTGAGCAAAGAACATTTTCCAGCCGGACATTGGAAACAGCACTCACCTTCGAGGTACAATTTGGCATTGTGAAACTGTCTCGCAAAATAGTTGTACCCAATCGAAGGAGAAAAATCATTTTAGGAGTTGTCGTAACACTGTCGTTTATGCAGCACTTCCACATCGAAACGGCACTACCTATTCAGACAAAAAATTTAGCTCCTCGCTCGCCGGGATTAATGCTGTGAAAATCGCCGTGAATTGTGCATCCATTCATTACAATCGCAGTGACTGTGAGGCCACTTCAAGACACGAACAACTTCTTTCCTATGCTTACTTATATATGGACAACAAAAGTACAGCTACTAATACTGTGACCTCGCAGACATCGCAATGATCGCAAAACACTGAAATGAGAAGTTAATCATAAATTTGTCTATTGAAAGAATTGCCCTAATTTCACCTGATTAGCAACATGACACTGCATCGCATCGCACTGACACTGCATCGCAACGAGCACCTGGCAAAGGTGCCGTATCCCCAGGTGAAACTGACCAACTCATTAACTGCACCTAAAAAACTAATCAGGTGAAATTAGGGCAATTCTCTCAAAAGACAAATTTATGATTAACTTCTCATTTCAGTGTTTTTTCGATCTGTCACGCTATCACTGCATTCACCTTCCCGTTTTAGGAATCACAGAACACTGATCAGGTGGGCGAACGTGTTTTTAATTTTTTGCACATCTTTCAACTATCATTTGTGTTGCGGCTTCACCAAAAATAATTTCTTCTCATGTTTCGTACAGCTATTGAATAGCTGTTTCCTAGTTTATATCGGCTTGAGCTGTATTCCATTAAACATCTTTCTACTGAACTTCTTCTGCGGAATAGTATTTGCCACATCAATCCTGCTCGTCTTCACTATAGCTTTCTTCCGAGAGCTAATGAAAAAATCAAATTCAAAGCTGCGACTACTCGACACCTCTCCATCGGTGTTCTTTTCACCTAAATCTTATGCAACCTCTGCTTTTCCAGATTGTTGTCTGATGATAATATTGTAGTACTAGCACTACTATTCATACGAATCATTATCATTTTAATCCCCTGAAGTTCTGCTCCCTGAACTTTTCATTCCTTCTGTGTTTTAGTTCTATGTTTTTCTGCTTAGCCAGATAGGCCGTATTTTATGTTAGATTTCATAGAGATTTCGTAGATAGAGACATAGAAAAAAAGCACAATGTGCATTAGCGGTAAGTGTAAGCTTCCTGCGGGTCGTGTTGAAACTGATTGCTACCCCACATCATTAACGGCGCACCTCTGTACAAGTTAGACTACCACAGGTATCGGTCGAAATAACAATTTTGAAGTGCTAAAAGTCAGCAGCGGACTAGAAAATTCAAATGATAAAATTTAGCGATAGATAATAACCGAATTTTTTTTCGACATGCCGGAATTGGGAAACGGATTATAAAATTGTACAAGTCTGAGCCCAGACGTAGTTGTGATCCAAACTAGTCATTCGATGTCGAGTAGGTTTTTTGTTCTGTTTTGAAAAAGGCGGGATGGGGTGATAGACTACAAAAACAACTGAATCTGACCAGAGATGGGATTATTACTCCATAATGCCGATGGCACTTCATCGGTGTCCATCAAAATATTAGTTTTTTGAAGTGTCGTAAGTAAAATCAAAAAATTAGGCATCAAGTTCATTACTCCAGATGTATGAGCTAATTGAAAAAAAAATTTACAGAACTAAATGGATTTGCCATAGATATCAATCGTTATAACTACTATTTTTGAAGTGCTGGAATAGCGATGGATTAAGTTCATCAATGAATCTGGCAGAAGCTATGGGCCTTGCAATTAGTTGTTTTGATACGTTGGAAGTTTATAATGGGTTACAAAATCAAAGAAATAAATCCAGCCATAGATGGCGTCAAAAAGTCGAAATAGGGTAACGGTTAGGAAATCCGATTAATCTGGACCAGGATAGGGCTATGACCTCATAGAAAAGAAGGGTGTTGATCAGTGTCTCACCGCATATCGATTTTTGAAGGGTTGGAATCAGTTGTAGGGTTACGAAATTGAATGAATCCACCCATAGATATCAATCGAACCAATAACTTTAGAGGCGTTCAAATCAGACGACTGATTATAAATCAAGAAAATCTGAACGTAGATAACGTCCGAAATATCCAATTTGCTGAAATGTCTTATTTGTGGAACGGCTAACAAAATTAGATAAATGAATCTAGCCTTGGATAGCGTTCGAAGATTGCCATCTTTCAGTACTTCAGTACTTTGAAAATGCGAGATGAATTACATATAAAAAATGAGTGTAGCCGTAGACTGCGACGGAGAAATTGATTTTGAAAAAATTCTGAGCTGAGGTACTGGTTAAAAAATTAGATGTTTGATGTTTTTCGAAGTGTCGGTAACTGCTGGAGGGTGCAAAATTGAATGAGTCAACTCATGGGTTTCAATCAAAATATCGATTTTTGAAACCGTAAAGTAGTGTACGAATTAGTTATTTCAATTAATCAATCTGGACGATTATAGCAACCAAATCCGAATTTCTGTTTTTTGAAGAGTCCGAAAATAAGTGGATCTGGACCAATATGAGATTATGACCTCACATAATCATCATAATCTCAATAATCTCATAATCAATCGGTTCCCACCCGGACGTCGACTTTTGAAGTGTCTGTAAAAGTCGGAGTATTACAAAATTCAATTAGTCAACCCATGGGTCAAAATATCGATTTTTGGAACGAAGATCTGATAAGAACTTCTAATTTCAATTACTTAATTTTGCCGTATAGCATCAGCTCCGAACATCGATTTTTGAAGAATTCGAAAAGGAGACTAGTTGCAACTATCGAACTCAACAACGATCCATCAAAGATCCATACTTTCTGTAAGATCCTGAAACAGCCAATGGACCATACCAGATAGCAATAGTACTGTGCAAGCAAACCAAATACACTGATATAGGTCACAATTCAAACTGTGCGACAGAAGCGGCTAATCCTAAATGTTGTTTTGAGTACGACTAGTGCTTCAGCTGGCAGAGTTGGTATTTTCTAGAAGAAAATGGTGAAGTTGCTAAATTTTTGTATACATAGCTGCTTTTCAAAATTTGTCTTCAATGCAGTAGTGGTCCGCGCTTGCAACACAGAGTTTTACCATCACTAATTGCTTCTCCGTAATTGTCGGCATCTCCCATAGTATCGGATTCTCATAGTGAGCAGCATAGGCTCGGGAATTATGTGAAAGGTGGTTCATTTTCCTTTGATTGCTGCGTTCCTTCCGAAAGTGATGACGGATCAGGAAGAAATGAAGATGGGAGCCATCGTTCCCAAAGCACAGAAAGTGCTAGAAGTCGAAGTCCGCGAGGGGATGAAATGCAGTTGAGAGATCACTGGCAGAGGGAAATTGAACGAGCAGGAAGACGGAGAGCACGAGAGACTGAAGAGCAGTGAGCAAACCGCCGGAGGAGGGGTGCTGATAGAGCATGGGAGAGAAGAGTCAGCGAAGGCGAAGAATAGCAAAGAAGGCGATTATCACAACAAGTTTTGCAAAGCCAGAGACGGATTTCCCAAACAAGCGACGATCAGCGAAGTGCTCTCCTGTCGCAGCAAGCTGTGACGAACTGGACACGAACCACGCAAGGGCGGCTACGAAGGATAAGCGCCACATCAGTTGAGGTTGAGGAAGGGATACAGGTCAAAACAGAAGGACGCCGTGTTCGAGAGAGAAATGTAGCGGCACGAATGCTGAGAATTGCGCGTTCTAACACTGAGCCGGAGGAGCAGTACGATGGTGCCTGAATGTAGAGTGTGGAAGTTGCGGAGCTATGCACTTCAGGTCAGAGAAGGCCAAGTAGGGCGACCTTCAATGACTGTTGCAATCATGGCAGCATTACAT